TGCTGATGCTGAGTTTGGGAAGCCCTGAGTGGCTGTTAAGCTCTAGGTAAGCTGAGGAAGGCCAGTGAGTCTCGTAAAATCACCTGTGGGTGATGCCCTGCTTGTTGTCATTTACAGTGAGGAGCTGAGGAACCTGTTCTTGGGGGACGGGTGGGGAACATGCCTTGGGGTGTAGCCCAAGCTGAAGAAGGGAGCCAAGAGAGGCCGCATGTAGAGTTTGGATCCCCGACCCATGTGCTTGTGCAGTGGGTTGGCCTGAGTGCAGGGCCTGCGAGTCGCATTGGTGGCTATGACAGCCGAGTGTTGGAGCGACAGCAGACAGAAACCCTGAGGGTTGGGCGATTACCCCCAACAGTATAGAATTGCCAGTCCCAGAGTGAGTGCATCCTGGGGGTGGATGCGGTGTGTGGCTCGTAGCCGAGACTACAGCCAGAGAAGGCCAGGAAGCCCGACAGCTCCTGGTGTGTTATGGCAGATGCCATGAGTGGTATCTATTTCTTTGAAGAATATCATTGAAATTTTTATCGGAGTAGCATCGCATCTGTAAACTGCTTCGGTAGGACGGCCATTTTGATAATGTTAATTCTTCCAATCCAGAAAACCTAAATTAGGGGCCAGGAAATAGACTAATTATAATAAAGAAAAAATCAAAATCAACAAGCAACTATAAACCAGAGACACACTATGGGGGGAGAGGGGAGGAGGGAGTAGAGTCAAAATGGGGGGTGGTGGGAATTGTATGGGGAATATCGCCAAGATGAAAATGCATACATTGTGCAAAAATGAAAAATGATGTAAAGAATATATAAAATAGGGCCTCCCCAGTGGCGCAGCGGTTGAGCGCTGGGTTGCGAAGCTGCCCGCAGCCTCTGCGGCGCCGGTTCGATCCCCGGCTACTCCCCGGCCACCAGAGGAGGGTCCCACATGGCGCGCAGACCTCTCCTGCCGCCCGCTGCTCCCCTCAGCAGTGTACTTCGGTCCTTCTGCCTGCTCTGCTCCCCGCTCTGGCTCTGGTGGGTTCTCTCACCCTCCTGGCTTCTGACTACCCAGTGCTTGTGTAAATAAATAAATAAATCTTAAAAAAAAAAGAAAAGAAAAAGAAGTTAAAAAAAAGAATATATAAAATAAATATTTAAAAAAAATTCAATTGAGGTTCTCTGTCTCATGGATAGGGCATCATCTCTTCAGTCAGAAGACCAGGGTTCTAGACCTGCCCTGGCTGATTAGCAGTGGGAACAGCTGAGCCACTGATCTTCTGGAACTTCATTTCCTGAGCTGTAAAATGAGATGATTCAATTAGATGATCCCTTAGGTCTGTTCAAGCTCACATAGTCTATGCCTAAATTGTCACATCTAGAAAAGGTGATGTTTAATCTCTTTCAGACTAGTGGAGTGCTATCTGATGCACACTTAATTGAGCAGAGTATTAGGATTTGGTTTATAATCATGGCTATGCACGATCATACGTATTGGGGAAAAAACAAATTGCAATAAAGAAAAACAAATTTAGGAAAAAAAATGGTTCTGGCAAGGTCAGAAAGAAAATCATAGATAATATTATAATTATTTCCTAGAAACATTTTTTTCAATCCCCATACTTGCTCTGTACAAGAAACAGCACAGAAAATAAGAGCAAAGGTGGTGTGAGTTTACACTAGAAAGAGCCCTGGGTGAGAAAAGGGCCATAGAAACTTGTAGCTCTGCTGGGCCCAGCACAGTGTCCTGGGCTCTGGCCTGTCTTTGCACAGCTCTATTCTCTGAGGACAGTAGTGCTCACAAGTATTCTTTATATATATATATAAAATTTGCCGGTTATATATAAATAAAATATATATGCATAAAAATATTTATGTATATATATAAATAATCTATATAAATAAATAATTTGTTTATGCATACAAGAGCTGGATGTGGACCAGAGGTGGGGGGTGAGGGGATTCACCAGAGACAGAGTGGGGAGCAGAACAGGCAGATTGACTGAAATACACTGCTGAGGTGAAGCAGCAGGCGAGACAGGAAAGGTCTGCTGTGCTGTGTGGGTCAGCTCCCTGGCCGGGGATCGAACTCATGCCTCAACAGCTGGTGATAGCTTGATAGTACTAAGACTTTACCCCTGCACCACCAGGGAGGCCCTTCAGAAATATTCTTTTTTTTTTTTTTTTTTTTAAAGCCTTTTTTTTTTTTAATAGAGGCATGTTTTATTTATTTGTTTGTTTGTTTATACATGCACTGGATACAGTCAGAAGCGCGGGAGGGTGAGAGAATTCACCAGAGCCAGAGTGGGGAGCAGAACAGGCAGAGGGACCGAAGTACACTGCTGAGGGGAGCAGCGGGCGGCAGGAGAGGTCTGCGCGCCATGTGGGACCCTCCACCAGTGGCCGGGGAGCAGCCGGGAATCGAACCGGCGCCGCAGAGGCCGCGGGCAGCTTCGCAACCCAGCGCTCAACCGCTGCGCCACCGGGGAGGCCCCCCTTCAGTAATATTCTAAAGCTCTAATCTTCATCTGTAAATGGGATATGAAATAATTTAGAAAGTTTCTAGCACATGGACATTTACTTGATCGGTATGTTTTGAACGAATGTGTGATTAAAATTACAAAACAGAAATGAAAGTAAAATTAAAAAATCAAGGCAAAATCATGTGGTAGAAATAATTCAAGTGGGTCAAGAATCCTAAGAAATGGGGCCTCCCTGGTGGCGCAGCGGTTGAGCCCTGAGCTGCGAAGCTGCCCGCAGCCTCTGCAGCGCCAGTTCGATTCCTGGCCACCGGCGAGGGTCCCACATGGCGCGCAGACCTCCCCGGCCGCCCGCTGCTCCCCTCAGCAGTGTACTTCACCAGTCTGCCTGTTCTGTTCCCCGCTCTGTCTCTGGTGAATTCTCTCACCCTCCTGCGCTTCTGACTGTACCCAGTGCTTGTATCAATAAATAAATTAATCTTTTAAAAAAAATAAGAAATTAGGCAAATGCTGTTCACAGGAGACATAGGATGCATAGAATGGTTCAAAATAAAGGTTATAGGATATGTACTTGTTTTCCATTGTTGTTGGGACAAATTACCACCAATTTTGTGACTTAAAGAACAGCAAATTCATGACCTAACAGATCTGTAGGTTTAGTCCAAAGTGGGTCCCTTGACTTGTGATCCTCCTTCCTGTCTTGAAAGCCAACTAGACGGCTTGGTCCTGTTCATAGCACATGAGTCTGACCTGACTTCTCTCTCTTCTGCATCCCTCTTCTACAGTTAAGGATCCTTGCAGTTACATTACCCACAATCATTTCCCTATTTTATGGTCATCTAATTAGCAACCTCAATTCTGCCTTAATTTCCCTTTGTGGTGTAATATAACATAGTCATGTGTTCCAGGGGATTTGGATGTAGACTTCTTTGGGGGATCATTATTCTTTCTACCACAGACTAATTGGCAAATAGTCATCAAAGAGAGCTGGTGATAGTAAGATCTGGCATAATAGCATTGAAGTCAAAATACCTAAATAGGCAAAAGGGAGACATTACATAATGACAAAATCACCGTGGAGATTGATTGTACAATGCGATTGGTCCAAAAAGAATTAAAGGAATTGGACTCAAATTTTATGTCTGCTGGTCCAGTGTTCCTACAACAAAAACCTCTAAAGAACACAGACCAATAGAAGGTTCTCCTTGAAGTCCACTGTGGGGTGCTGGTAAATTTCTTGCCCCAAATGAAAATAATAATTACAACCTAGACCACAGAGCTGTTGTAAGAAATACCTTAGGATTGAGGCACACTGCAGCTATCATATAAATGTTAAATAAAAATAATATTTCCTGTATCCTTACTAGGGTTGGGCAAATCCAGATGTATATTGTACTTTTCACATATTTCAAAATATTTTCAAATGTTTTGGTTTGGGTTCAATAAAAACCTCAAGTACATTTTGCCAAGTGCTTTTTCCATTAATTATTCAATCCATTTGTATTTCAAGGGAAATTCAGTCCACATGTTTCTAATTCATTTAGCACTAACTCATCAAAATATTGTTTCTCTCAGTGCTATTTTCTGTCCAAGAGGCTTTTCAAGCCCTCTCCTCCTTTTTTATTTCTTAGAAACAAAAAGCTGTAGCTTGCCAAGGGTAAATGCTAGTAAACTACTAAAAGTCTTAATTAGCACTGCATCTAGAATTCTTCGCCTTAGTATCTTCTGTCAGTCTTGTGGGGTCCACGTCACTCTCTCAGCTGCTTCCCCACGGCCTCACTTTCTTGCTGCCTTTGACCTGGTTCTGCTTCACCCACACTCACCCGCTTGAGAGTTCCAGTTTCCTCTCATCCAAGGCCATGAACCCTTGGATGCCCGATTGCTTTCTGAATCTCTCCCCCTTCGTCAAGTCCTTCCAAGGCTGGGTCAGTGAAATAATGGACTTGTACTGTCCCCCAAAATAACCTCACAGGATCGTAAGAATAGATATATTTTCAAAAATCTGATCTTTTTGAAAAACATCTGATGGTTTCACTTACAGGAGGAATATAGGGGAACCAAATGAGACATCGGGGGAAAAATATAATAATACAAAACACAACAAAACAAAAACAGACAATTATAAACCAGAGACATCCTGCAGGGGAGGAGGAGGGAGAGGGGTCAGAGGGAGGGAGGGAGGAGCACAGGGGACTGAGGTGATGGTGCACGGGGGGCATTGGGGAAGGAAACTCTATGGGGACTACACCTGAGTGTTGGGGCTGGGAGCAAACATTGTCAAAAATGAACGATGATGTAAAAAATATATTAAAAAATAAATAAATTTTTAAAAATTTGATCTTTTTAAGTATGTGTGTACATGTGCATAAACAGGGGAGAAAGAGAAAGAGAGAAAGAGAATCTTATGAGTGAATAATGTTGTCTTAACTAAAGAGAGCCTAAAGGGAGAGGAACCCAATATTATGTTCACTGCTGCAAAAACAGCAAGAGCTGCTGTGCCTACAAGTGGGTTCCTGCACCCCTTATGGAATGTTCTCTCCAAAAGGGCTGAAGTGGACCCTCATCATGAGAGACTGTGGGACACTTCAAAGGACGACTTCTCTGGATTCTTCAAAAATGTCAATGCTAGAAAAGACACAGAGAAAGCAGCAGTAAACTCTTCTCATCGTAAAGAAGACTAAAGAGATGGGCAATTAAATGCAATGTGATGCTTGATTGGATTCTGGATTTTAGAGAAATATCCTCAAGGACCTTCTGAGACAATTGGAGACAATTGGAGGAAAGTGTTCCTATATATGTGTATATAATGAGAGTAAATGTTGCAAAATATTAATACTTGGTAAATCTGCATACACCTACCGACATACACACACCCCCACCCCACACATGTACACACCCACATGCCCACACTCACATGCAGGAGATGTGTAGGAGATATCTTTCTGCAGATTTGCACAAATCTATCTCAAGCCAGAGGTCAGATTCTCCTTTTTTATTTATTTTTATTTTTTGGTGAATATTTAGATCTTTGAGGCTGACTATTGCACCACATGATGCCAAGTTTGTGACACACAAATGTTAGTTTTTGATAATATGGGAAATGAGCAACATTGCTGTGTGTGCAATGCATAGGGAGACATTTTCAAATAGGAATTCTCAGCAACTGTGGAGCAATGGGTTTTGAAAGTCTCAGGACCTGTAACTGTGTACATCTATTTTTCCTGGGAGAGTATTCATCATCAGATGCACAAGTGTGACCTTCACAGATTTTAAAATAGCCCTTAGCAGTATCTTCAGATACCTTAAACTTTAGATACTTTAAACAGCCTTGTCTGAGGTTGAAGCCCCAGACAAACCTCTAATTTGCCTTTGCTAATAATGCATGTAGACCTTTCTACAGAGAATCCACAGTAGCTAGAAGGCCTACAATTAGGTTGAAATCTTTTTATCAGTTACGGGCATTAGGTGTCAACGTGGTTAGAGACCCGCTCCTGGCGAAGCTCAACACATGGGTGACATATTTAAATAATAACATTACAAGCCAGAAGAGGGAAAGAGTGGGAAGCTGGTTGGCCAGACAGTGACTGGGCTGTGCATTTTATAGATTGCTGGATGCAGCCCCCCAGAGTACAAAAAGAGAACTGACCGCGACTCTAATTAGAACAGGGAAACTCTCGATGTGACTTTTGTTTTGGAAGGGGATTTGGGACATCACCAGTTTATGGGACACGATTGTGCACCAGGTGGTCCTAGTTAGGTGAGAGATTTTATGTAAAAATAATCCTTCTTTGGCTTTATGCAGCACAATAAAACCACTAAGATATTTTCCCATATGAAGTATTTCTACAGGCACATTCAAAATGTTAATCCCCATTTTTATATGCATTTTTTCATGACTCCTAAGAAGTTTACCAGGTTGGGAAATTTGCAAAAACTGGTCCCTTGACAAAGTCATTGGACGCTTTTTACCACAACAGGTTTGTTTTGTTTTCACGGGGCCCAAAGTATTTTCATAATATCCCTAACTTGGACATTGCAAATAGGCTCAAATATTGTTATCCTAACCTTCCAAATAAAGGCCAGGCTCTCACGGTGACTTTTAAAGGCTATCAGATTCTGAGCTAGCATTGCCTACACACTGGAATGAGCAATCTGAACTGTATCCACACCGAACATTATCTGTAATACAAATTTCTATTAATGAAACTAAAAATGGGCAATTTCATTTTACAAATACAAAATAATACAATACTTATCGTGCATGCAGGTAGATGCAAATACACCTATAATACCCCACTTGAGAGCTGGAGCAATCACCTGAGGTTTTCTGAAGTGTCTGTAGAAGCTTCACTGAATAATAAAAGCACTTTTCAGATGGCTTTCATATATCTAAACGAATTCAGGCCTAGATTTGAATTCTGAAATCACATTTATTATTAATGTGATCTTAACAATTTGATTTAGTCACTCTGAGTTTTATCTGCTTCCTCATCTATAAAAATGCTTAGCATGGAGACCTAATCATGTTTCTACTAGGACGAAGGGAGACATCTTTTTGATTGTTCTCATTGAGATTATGTGGGGGTATCATTTAATAAGGTTAAAATCTAGGCCTCCACCCTTTGCCCAACAAGAAGATTCGGGGGGCTTGAATAGATTTGAATAGATTTGATTCAAGCCACCCAAACCTTCCTGCTGGGCACTGGGTAGAGGCTTAGATTTTAACCTTATTAAATGATTCCCCAACATTACGCAATTCCTTTCCTAACATGTTTCACCAACATGTTCTGGCCATTTCAAATAGAAATATATACTCTCTTCTCCACTCCAAGTGCCAATCAGCCGCACGAGTGTGTATATGTAAAAAGAATGAAACTACATGTCCCCTACCACATTAGTAAGTGTCAGGAAACAGTACATATGATTAATGCTGCTGAAATAGGCAGGAAATTATTCAGGTGGATTCAATCAACTCAGCCAAACATATAGGTAGCTTATTAAAATTTAGACAAAAGTCTACAGGCACTTAATACATAACGATGACTCTAGACCTAAATTAAAGAGCGCCCTGCCCCCAGGCGTCCCAGCCCCTGCAACTTGCTGCCTCAACGCAATCACTCTTGTTACAGCTAGAATTATTGACCTGCTTTTCAGCTTTTTCTCCTCTCTGAAGGGAGACATGTGGCCCTCCTGAGCCCCAAGGCCCAGCCCTTGCTGAAACACTGAGCCATTTGAGTTCGCCCTGGAGGCGAAGGCAACACTTTGAATATGCAATAAAGGGACTCGAATATTCTTAGCTGCATCCGCAGAACTGTGAGCTCTTCCTCACATTTTGGGATCTTGAAAGAAAAAAAAAAAAGAGTCACAATGTGGATTTGATGAGGCTGGAAAATGGTACTTTTCTAGACAAAGGATTGTGCGCCTGGCTCACTGTGGGTGCAAGAGCACTTTGGGTTTTTTAAGCAGTCATTTGAGATAAAACAAGGTAAAGTGCTTTTCAAAATAAAACACATCTTGCTCATTATTTCTGCAGCAGGAGGTACAGTCTCTTCCTTGCCCCCTACTCAGGATCATTTCAGCGTGGATTAGGAGACTCGTCTCCATGGCCCGCCAATTTTTCAGCTGAAATTCCCTTAATTACCACAATGGGGTTCACTCCTTTTAAAATCATCCCAGAAAGATGGCTTAATGCAGCCATAAAAGCTTTGTCTCAAGTCCCAGTTCTGCGATTTACCAGCCATATGACCTTAATCATAGTAAAACTATCTGTCGATAGAAGGCACCTCCCCTCAAAGGGCACCAACATGTCTGAGGCATCTGAGAATGTCAGGAGACTTAGGATCTTAACTAGAAAATTAAATGCATGAATTACAGTAACAGTTTTAATTGGTTGTTGTCTATTGTAGACGCTGCAAGGAAAGTCTTGCTGGGGGAAGTACTGTAGATGCCTGTACCAGTCCTCTGATGAAGTTTGTATAAGAACAATCTAATGCTGTCTTGCCAACATTCTGGTGACCCCATAGGGATGGAAAAGGGGGATATATAGCCCCAACTAGGTGTTCTTAGGGAGGTATTCAAATCCCCCACCCCTTCATTTTTCTCAGATGTAATGAAGGTTATCAGTTCAGATCACCATTTCCCAGAGTCTGTCCCTTGGAACATTTTATATGATACATGGTGCTCTATAAATTTTTTTTTAAAGATTTATTTATTTTTATACAAGAACTGGGGTACAGGCCAGATGCGTGGGAGGGTGAGAGGATTCACTGGAGACAGAGCAGGGAACAGAACAGGCAAACTGAAGAAATACACTGCTGAGGGGAGCGGTGGGCAAGACAGGAGAGGTCTGCTGCACCATGTGGGATTCTCGCCGGCCGGCCGGGATTGAACCTGCACTGCAGAGCCTGTGGACAGCTTCACACTGCGGCACGCAACCGCTTGCGCCACCAGGGAGGCCCTTGTGTTTTTTTTTTTTAACCGCCATTCACTCCCATCCCACAAAAATGAACCATCTGTGGCAACAGCCATTTGAAAATGGCCTTTATTGCATAAACTTATCTTTGGAACACCCAAGACTTATATTTAACCAGTGTTTTCCAAAATCATTTCCCACAATATTAATTTCTGTACAAGAAGGAAGGGCATATTTAATCAGCAGCACACCTCCTTCGGCTCTAGAGTGAGACTCCTTGCAGTGGGTTTATGACAGCTCTGTTAGGTTGCCATATACTGAGAGCAGAAAATGGACAGTGTCAGCCAATGGCATTAGTTATTTTCTCTTCAGTTAATAGCAAGTTCTAGTCCTCCAAGCTGCCATTTGGCTTCAGAAGTCTTCCTGAGTCATTCACCAATTGTCTCGGTTAAAAATAGGGCCATGTCATGTGGCAGAGATCACCAAGACCAGCAAGTGTGACCTTATTTAACACCACACACTTGTCCCCTAAGTTTGTTTCTCCTATAGATGCCTTTGAAAAGTCCACTAAGGTGTACAAATTAAACTGGGTAGTACAGACAGGAATCATTTTCAAGTAAGGTAGGAAAAGGACTTTGAAAAGAGAAAAAAAAAAACATAATACAAAAACCTGTCATAAGACCTGTAGAAAATGCTGAGGAATGGGAGCAGGGTTGTCTGGGGAATATTTCCTTGTTATTTTTCATGAAACAGCTTGTATAACAAAACCAAATGCCCTTGTTTTATGAAACATTATCATGGTCCTGGAGGCATTGAAGAAGGGGTGTTTATTCTACAGACTTTTCTAGATTCTTGGCTCAATTTTGCTACATGCTCATTGAATGACTCTGAGCCACCCCCCACTTTAATACATGTTTATGAATATGTGTATGCTTTGAATTTTAAAATAAAAAAGTACCAAAAACTCAACCTGTAAATTCTAAGGAAAAAAAAGAAAGAAAGACTCGCTCCTAATACCACCCTCTGAAAACTGGAATTATTTTTGTGGTTGTCCATCCATACTTTTATACTCATGTTTTTTTTTTGTGTGTGTGTAATTAAGATTCTAGTATATATTTAATTTATTCAATTTATATTATGTCATAAACTTGTAAGCACCTGATGGTGCCACACCTCACATTGTCTTTTTAATGACAATCCAAAATTTCATCAATTCGTTTATTTGACTCTTTATTGTAGAACTTTTAGTTGCTTCCAATTTAAAAATTACTCTATATTAAACATCTTTGTGCAGCTGTCTTTTTATATATGTTGGATAATTTTTAAGGGCACAGTCATGGCCTTGAAATTACTC